TATATATATTATATTATATACATATATATATATATATATATAATATATATATATATATATATATATATATATACATATATATATATATATATATATATATATATATATATATATGTATATATATATATATATATATATATATATATATATATATATATATATATATATATATATATGTATCATAATGTGTATATATATGTATGTATATATATACATATATATCTATATATGTGTGGGTGGGTGTACATATGTGTATGTGTGTGTGTGTGTGTGCGCGCGCATGTGTGTATGTGTGTGTACTTACGTATATCCTATTCTCATTATTTTTAGTATTGTTTCCATTTCTTTATATTCTGAAACAAGCATTTCTCATCGCATTATCAAAATGTAAATACTAACCTAGATATCTCTGGCGCCCCTGAAAACTATCTATTTTCTAACGTGTAATCGCATCACATTAGTATCAAAACTTTTTTTTTATTTGCATTTATTTGTTGATTTTAATCTTATACTAATATAACTGGCATAAGAACAAATATTTACAAAACATTTATGAAGAACGACTTTTAACAAATATCTAAGTATTGATAATTTGATTTAGTTTAATCATCACTATCATTATTATTATGTGTTTGGGTGTAATGCAAATGAACGGTACCGAAGATGTACTCTGATTTTTTTCCTGCGGGCGAGTCCAGTGTATCGTTGTACCCATATCTTCATGTGTTCTGTACCATTACGTTTGTGCGTTGCATTATAGTTGCTAAGCTCGGCCTTGAGATGTTGTATATAAAGAGGTTACTATATTCTATGTACAGTGTCCTTCTAACGACATCATGAAGAGCATCACCCTTGCTTTGGCCGTTCTCGGCTTCGCTTACGTCAGGTGAGTTCAACGGGTATTTAAGATTGGTACTGATGAATTTGGAATTGAAAGAATTCACTAATCCCGTAGTACATACATAATCAAAACAACGAATTCTCTCCCAGCGCCCAGACTGAACCATGGTGCCGTTGCGCCCTCTTCGTCTCGACTCAGCACACGGAATGGATGGTCTACGACCTGCCCGAAGTGGTCATCGACGACTGCGAGAGCCACCACCAGTGCGAATACCGCTGCAAAAGAGAGGTTCGGGTTAAAAGTATTTTGTGCATATGTTCTAAGTGTGAGGGTATAAGAGAACATCTATAGCATTATTAATAGTGATGAAGCAGTATACATATATGCATGTTTTTGTGACTATATTTATATAGAGAAATGCGAAGGTGACCTCAGTCTTGATTCACTGATGGTACGAATATAGTAATTCCGTTTCCTTCCAAGGCTTCATATTATTTGCATGAGCAATTTCCTGTGAAAACAGAAGTTGCGCTTTACTACATAAGCCTTTAACTATACAAAGTTGAGCATCGTAAGCCAATTCACTTTATTTCCATAGTTCAATGAGATGACCAACGAGATGGACTTGTGGTCGACGGTGAACAACGCAACGGTTGGCTCCTACCTCTGCCAGAACTTGGAGCACTCCATCCACAACAAATACGTAAGATGCGATCAGTATTTCCCCCAGATTCACCCTTATTCTAAGACTATACTTCATATTTCAAAATGTATCCAAAACCCTCGTCCCTTCATAATGCTTTTCCTTTTCCTTCTCGCAGGTCTACGGTTACTACGAGATGTGCGGCGGTCCCTGGGAGTACTCTGGCCTGGTCTCCCAACAGTTGCTATGCTGTTATCAGGGTGAACACGTCCACTGTATCTCCAAGTGAAGAGGGTGGAAGTAAGACTCAGCGCCAGCATAATTTGCGTCCTGAGGAATATGAAAATACATTGAGAGCAATATATACATTAAATGTTATATACCCCAATGCCATCAGTGTTTTTCTTCCCGTTGCATCTGTCGAGCATCTTCATTGTTGTTGTCCATGATTCAAATACTGAAACATGTTATTAGTAATCAAAAAAAGATTGTAAACGAATTATGCCAATAGATCAAGGGTTAGGAGTATACGCTAAGTACAAACACTCTAGAAAATAAATTTATAGTTAACATATCTGAGGCTTTCATCGACGTGCTATAAAGACAAGGGAGGCATAGCAAGACATATGGAGCTAGTATTTGTCGGCAAATTCCGAGAAATTCGAATAATCTCCAAAGCGTTACAAACAAGTAAAAAACATTAACGGTGATTTACCGCTATTATTCTAAGATACGACAAATTCTTAAAGACCGCTCCCAATGGTCACACCCTTTTGTCGGCAAATATAAAGCGTTACAACCCCGTCTCCATATAATTTAGACGTCAACTCTTTGGAAGAAAGCAAGACAAAGAGGCGCGGGAAAATGTGATATATATTTATCGCCGAAAGGTTCCCCCTCTTAAGATTATACTTTAAAAATATAATGGGTCAACACACGTTGTCATGCGATGTTACTGTCTAATATTATTTTCCTTTTCTTACCCATGCCATTTGAGCATCGATAACAATATAGGC